GCTGAATTATAGTATAGGTTGCCTCTTTTTACCAGCATTATACCAATTTTTGGCCAGAATTATACTAATTTTTGGCCGGAATTATTCCAGGAGAACCTGCGTGCATATATATATATAATACTATTATATACCCTTTTTTATACAATTTTTAGAGTATATATCCTATTTTTTAGAGTATATACACCATTTTTTGGGGGGTATATACCCTATTTTTTAGGGTATATTTTATGTCACATGATCTCTATTTTTAGGGTCTAGGGTGTTTTTTGTATAACCTAGACCAGATAGGGTCATATAGGGTATGCACCCTTTTTTTTGGAGTACATACTCCAATTTTTAGAGTGTATTCTTTAAATTTTAGGGTAGGGGCAAACTATACTATATTTTAGCCAAATATATAATTACAATCATTAATAATCATTTTTAATTTCTTGGCATGTCTTTTTTTACTAATTAAATATTATACTAGTCACAATCGTTAATAATTGTTTGTTTAAAATTATTTTGATAGCTTCTGCAAAAAATCAAGAACTATCATGGTACCACTCTGCAAGTATTAGATTTGCAGTTTGGCATATATTTGGGTGTAAAAACTTCCTCCCTTGAAAAGTAACATGTCTTTAGTTGAAATTTTGAAATGGAAGAAAGTCAAGCAGTATGTAATTGTTATTAAGCTCTTTTCGCAAAAAACAATAATGGTATATACTGGGTTTGTACAATCACAAAATAGCATTTTCTATGATAGCAGTTCTAAATTTGACAAGTGAATATTATGTATTTACACTTATGATATGTGATATATTATTAAATCCATAATCACAAAGCATTTTGTACACTGAAAGGCATATGAAACACCATATTGAATACTATTTGATAAGTAATCATAACATAGTTTTTTATATAAAATTTATTGTTAATATTTAATATATTATAATAGCATAACTTTGAAAATGATGAACCTTCATATAAATCAACCGACTATATCCTAAATGATAAAGGTGAAGTTTACAAAGATGACCGATCTGAAAAGCCTCTATTACAAAATGATTCTGATCCTTCTTTTGACTCTATTCTCTGAAAAACTTCTTCAATAAATCTTTTCCAAGACAAGCTAGACAATTTGTTTGAGGTTATTAAATAGTGTAGTATTTTGTTTTTTCTACATATAGTTTTAATTTTTTTTATATATTTTTTTTGTCTTGCTTTTTTTTAATATTTGATGTATTTTGTATTGCTTATTGTATTGGCATCATAATAAAAAAAATATAATATAAATAAAGTATAACTTTTAATAATAAATTCAGCTATTACTTTAAATATTTGTAAAAAGCTAGTTTATTATTTATATTAAATATTGAATGTATCAATTGATTTTATTAAAATCAATTTATATCAATTTTATTAAAATTAATTTATATTGATTTTCTATTTATAATGGCTATATATCAATTATTATCTCAATTGATATAACATAACAGGAGAGATTAATATTGATATATATCTATTATAGTTAGTAATCGATATATATCAGTCTATATTTTTTGCTGATGTATCTCTTTCCTTATTGAATTCTTCTCAGAGTCTTTACTTTGTCTATACTTTTTAGACTCTACTACTATAGTTGTTTTTCTTTCTTGATTTCTTTTTTGATTTCTTCTTTACTCATTTCTACTATATATTTGATAAACTTGAGGTTTTGGTTAATCTATTTTGCTCTTTTTGCCTATTTTTCAATCTACTTTCTAGATATTCTCTAGCTTTGGCTTTTAGTAAAGCTTTATTAATACATCTATATACTAATACTTCTATTGATATAATTTTGTTTTTGTCTTCTATTGTTAGTATCTTGGCTATATATTTAATATTGCAAGATCACTAAGTATAACTTCTTTAATAGTTTTTTCAAGTGGCTTGTCAAGCATATACTTGGCTGCAATTACACTTCTGCTTCAAATAAAATCTAGAAGATTTATCTTTATCATCTTTATATCAATACTTGATTTTAAAATATTTTTCAAAGTTAGATTCTAATTTGTTGCTATAGATTCTATATTTACTATAATATATTTTTAGAACAATCAACTTCTAGTTATTGTTATATGTTATGTCTGTAGTATTTGTTTTGTTGTTGTTACTACTAGTAATATATATTATTATTGATTTATAAATTTTGTTATGTCTAAAAATATCAATATGATCTACTGTTTGTTTATTTGTTTATTTGATCTTATGTGTTTGTTATGTTGTTGATATTTATACATTTCAAAAATCAGATTTTCAGGGTCTAGACAAATTTTCAAAAATTTTCAAAAATTTTCTAAAAATTTTTAAAAGTCTTTATTTTGTTGCTAGCCTTAAAATTTTTGTAGAAGACTGTTCTAATATACTAAAAGTTATCCAAGTATTCTTCTTTTTTTTTTAGTATAAAAAAACTTGCTTTCTATACTAGTTTTTTTAGAAATTATTAATTTAGTCTTTAGTCAATTCAAAAATTTGTTGTAAATCATAGATCAGTAAAAGTGTTTTTTTGAAATATACTAAAATTAATTTTAAAAATTAATTTTAAAAATTAATTTTTAACTTTAGGTATTCTGTACTGTACTAGTTTTGGTAAAAATCTTGCTACTTCCTGTTTTTAAAATAATATTGGCTTAAATATTTTATTATTAAACTTTTAGAACAAGCAATTATTTGTGATATAACTAGATATTTTGTATTATAGTCTTATAATTTACAAGTTTTTTAAACTATTTAGACTATTAATTTTATATATAATTTATTTTTGCAATCTAAAAAAACATTTATACATTCACAACTCTCCCTGATGATCACTCATACCAAACTTACAGCTAACGAAAACAGAAACTTGTTGGAAAAAAGTAGAAGAGATAATTATACAAGTAATGGTTTTTACAGAGGTCAAGAGCTTTTTGCTTCTCTTTGTCTTTCTGAACTTCTTTGTATATTTTAGCAAGCAAGTTAAAAATGTTTTTGCACAAGATAACTGGCAGGAGGTGGTACTCTTGTACAAAAAATTTTAATAGAAGTGCAGCTTCTGCTAATGAAATGAAAGATAGTTGGTCTAAAGAGAACAACAAGCAAGTTTTAACACACTCTTTACTGAAGTTTAAGACTACCTGCAAACTAAAACCCTTTACAACACCCCACTCTTTGCTCTTTATGAAATTTCACCAAAAAGTGAGAAATCTGGCAAACCCCATCAAAAGATCGATAACAACAATTGCTGCCAAAAAAAGAAAGTCAAGTAAAGGAGTATGTATCTACTTTGAGATGAATAATGTATATATGTATACCTCAAGAGGTTGCAGTATTTATACTGAGTACTCTAGCATGTTAACTTTGCCCAAAAACAAATGAGTATAAATATATTGCAGAATTTTGGATAAAGACTCGTTGGGACCACAAAAGAAATTTTGAACTTGGATCTCTACTCAAAAATAGATATTGTATATCCTAATATAGACATAAATAACTAGTATAAAGTTTAGACTAGTTTTTAGTAGCACTATATAATTTTTATAGTCTGGTATGGACTTAATAGTACTGTTCTTTGTTTTCTTTTCTTTTATTTTGTTTTGTTTTTCTTTGCTTTTGTTTTTGGTTTTTATTTGTTTTAGTTAGGTTGAACTTCATTGCTATATTTATTTCATTTTGTTTTGTTTTACCCTTTAATTTGTGTATATGTTCTTATTACTAAAAAGAAAAGCTAACATCAAGGTGAGTAGCTTGTAGTCACCAGCTGAGGATTGAAGGGAAAAAAGTTCTTAGCAAGTTAAGAACCTGAATTGAGGCTAATGACTACTGAGGCAGGCCATATTGAGTGAAAGCTTGGTGAGCTATAGGTCTGGTAGATCAATATAGCTAAGAGAGAAATTCTTGTAATTTGTCGAATAGTTTTGATCTCAATAAATGATGGCAAGCAGCTAAATTAAAAAAAAAAAAAAAATTTATAAAAATATTTTTTAACTATACTTTTGATTTTAGATTTTTAAAATTTTAAAAAATATTATATAGAAGTTTGATAAATATACTATTTTATATTAAATGTCGGGGATGATGCTGAAATCGGATGATGCTGACATTTTGACTTATTTTATTATGAAAATGTAAAATTTT